AGGATTCATTTCAGATGAAGAATTTGATGATTCAGTGCTTTCTTCGGCGGCAAGCGATCTCATGGAGGATGCTTCTTCTTCTTCTTCTTCTTCTTATGATCATCTCCTTGATTTGTCATTGCTCATGGCAAATCTTCCTATCAAGTGAGTATTCTTATAATTTTTTTCCATTGTAACAATGATCTAGATCTCAAATTTTGCTAAAAAATAATAAAAACAAAGAATGAATCACAAATTTATGTACATATGGGATCTTTACAGAAGCTAAAGGCAAGTTTTGATCTTTGCAGGAGAGGGCTATCCCAATTCTTCCAAGGAAAATCAGAGTCTTTCAGTTGTTTATCCGAGGTTAGCTGCATTGAAGACCTTGCGAAAAAGAACAACCTTTGCAGCAAGAGGAGTAAGTATTGCAAGAGAAATAACGAAGGAATGCATATCAATCAAAAATCACATTATGCTCCAAATATTTGCAGCAGAATCATATCAAAGAAACCTTTGATGTATTCTTCTAATCCAATGTTAGCAAGGAACATAAGTAGTAATCTTTTTTGCAGCAATAAATATGCCTCAATTTCATTGAAAAAGATGTAGATTGATTGATTTACAAATATGAAAGAGAGAGAAAAAGAGAAAAGAGAGGGCGATGTAGTTGACTTGTAATTTATTTTTTGTATAATGAGTTTTGGATGAAATTCTTCAAATGAGATTATGACTGTTTAAAAAGCTAGAAGCTTCAAACTCGCTAGAAATATTGCTTGAAATTGGCTCAACTTGAAATCTTTGAGTTGATTTCAAGCACCGCTCCATACTAGAAATTGATTTTAACCTAATTTTGAGCACCACTCCATACTAGAAGTCCAATTTATGCTGATTTTAAGTACCGTTCCATATTAGAAATTGATTTCAAGTTTATTCAGCTAGCTCGAATAGATTGTAGGTTTAACTCAAAAGGAGTTTATAAGAGCCGAATAAGAATCAAAATTATCTAATTTTAAGTTGGGTCAAACACATTTGAACACGACTACATAACAACATTAATGATTTAATTTTCTTTTAGAATTTCAATGTTATTGATGATAAGACATGCATAAATAGTTTATCTTATCTAACATAAGTGAAAGCTTGTTAAACCATATTTTGTTACTTAATCTAATCACAATAGCCATATATTAAAGAATTTTGGATTGTTTTTTAAGTAAAAATTTTCAATGGTAAAGAAAATTTGTTGCCCTTTTATCTTTGTTGCTTTGAGCATGCAAAGGTTAGATATAATTTTACAATTTTTGTAAGATGAGGATTTTAATTTTATGGAAAAAGATGTTTTTTACTCGGCAAAGAATATCATACCATCCAAAAATTTCAACTAAAGAGATGTTAAAAAAAAAATTCCAACTAAATACATTGCCATAATGTCATATGAAAAACAAGAGACTAATAAGTTGCTCAAGTTCATAATTAAAAAGCTAAACATGTATTATTCTATCA